GCCGATCCCCTCCCCCCTTTGGCATAGGGTGCGGGACCTTTGGCAAACTGAAATGGCGTAGGGTGCGGGACCCTGTAACGGGCCCCGAAATTTTTAGGTATTTAAGAGGGCTAACGGTGTCGGTGTCATTGTACCACCAGCGTAGGCGCTGGCGGTACACATGGTTTTAGTCCCGACCTGCATGTTCTGCTGGCTCCGCCGGCTCCTCTGGCTCCGCCGCCATCTCACCGTTACCGCTTCTCCTCCTAGACAGTAAGGGCCTCCATACCCTTCTCTTGGATTTAAGTCGCCTATAATCTCAACTCGTTCCACGTACAATTTGGGCTTTGTCGGTATTGGTGTCTAGGTGTGGCGCTCATTGCAATGCAGCCTTGTCCAAAAATGGCAAAATTAAATGCTAATTATCTACCCTACGGAAGGAATTATGGGAAAAATTTCTACAGATGGCTGACCGAAAGTCATACGTGGAGATTTCAAATATGCCCTTGGATTTGTCTTTGACCTTTATTTCAAGGTCAAACGGGCCAAAATTTTCAAAAAAAAAAAAAAAAAATTTTTTACGAAAAAAAAAATTATTTGGGCTGATATTCAAAAACTACACAGACCTAACCTATAATATTATTGGAAAGAGATACCCTTCGGGTCATCTTTCATCTCTGTGAATTTGGGGTCAATCGGTGCATTTTCACGGGAGTAGCGGCCATAAGATATCGAAACTGAAAACTGTCTCTAATTCGGGAACCGTTAAAGCTAGAGACCCATTCTTTTTTGCATTTTGTAGAGCATGTAAAGCCCAACACTAAAGGTGGTCTCTGTTTTTTTGTATTCCTTACGGTTTTCGAATTATGCTGTATCAAAAAGTACATTGTGGTGGTGAAAGCAAAATGTGCAGTACGGTAATGTATAATAAATTTTGAACCCCGGGAAAATAAAACATAAGGCTTGGCAAGGCAGACAACTTCTGGTCTAAAATGACATTATTTCATGAAATTTGAACCTCTGGAACTACAGAGCACCTCCCATTTCAAGAATTTCAACCAAAATGACCTTTTCTTTATTTAATTTTTTTTCTGTAGGAAATTTATGGCACATTATGGTTACTCCAAAATTATAACATTTAGTCCCTTATATCTCCAAAACTGGCAGAGATAGGTCCATAGTTACTATTAAAGTTGAATAGGAAGTCACATACTGGCAATTTAACTGTGACCTTAAAATTGACCTTTGACCTACTTTTCACCATGAACCGAACTTTGCAAATTTACGTTCCTTTTTATCTCCAAAACTGGCAGAGATAGGTCCATAGTTACTATTGAATTTGAATAGGAAGTCATATACTGGCAATCTAAGTGTGACCTTGAAATTGACCCTTGACCTACTTTTCATCATGAATTGAACTTTGGAAATTTTCGTTCCCTTTTATCCCCAAAACTAGCAGAGATACCTGTAGGTCCATAGTTACTACTGAACTTGAATAGGAAGTCATATACTGGCAATCTAAGTGTAACCTTTAAATTGACCTTTGACCTACTTTTTACTATGAATTAAACTTTGCACATTTTTTAATGCTTGTACTTTCAAAACTGGCAAAGATACGCCCATAGTTACTATTGAATTTGAATAGAAAGTCATTAGAGGCAATTTATTGTGACCTTAAAANGCACATATATCACTTGCTTGCACACCCACCCACCAACAAAACATCTGTGATTTGCAGCAACTTGTCATCAATACTTGTACTTAAAAAAATAAGTCATGAAAGATTACAGGAGGCAGCTTAAGATTTGGCTTCATGAAAACTAATACATATGGGATTAAATAGTGAACAGGGGCAGAAATGTATATATATATATATTTTTTTTTTTTCCACAGTCTTCCAAATTATTATCTTTGCTGATCCATCCTGCATTTTTTTACCGTTTCCGACAGAAAGGATTAGATGCCCATCACTGTAAACTTGAACAATTCTGAACATCATCTGGAAGACCCAGAAGACATGCAGTTTCTGTCCACACCTCAGGAAGAAGTGGGAATGGGAAGGGGAGGGGCGCAACTGCACACTTCACTAAAAAGTATGCTCCCGAATATAAATGGAAAGGAATTCTGATTTTCTTTACATATGCATGATGCAGTAGAGGTGAATGATGTTATAGCAAGGGGTAATGCACACATTATTATAATAGTATCTGCTATTCTGAATCTACTAGTAGCTTGACCTATAGTACCCCTTCCTTTGATCAGACTGTGAAACAATTTAGCTGAGGAAAACGTGCACTGCTGCACACATGGTCTTGCTAATTCCTAATAAACATACCGGTACAGTGTACTAGCTGGTATTGGGTCTCAGCTCACTCACAAAACCTTATAGCCAAGCATATAACCCCACTGGCTGGATAATGCATATTAGGTAAATATGAAAATTTAACTCTGGAATCAATGCTGAATTTGGAGAAAAAATAGTGAAATATTTTAAGTAATTGATAGACAACTATAATGTACTAGTAAGACTACTTAACTAAAAAATTTGGCTAAAATTTACTACCACACAATTTATATTCAATTTATAAATACCCCGGTACACACATACCGGGTATGATAGCATCATGCACCCCCAGTATGTATGAACAAGTATACAAGACACAATTAAATTTGAATATATCTGTCAAAATAAACTGAGAAAATACAAATTTCTGTTCTTGAACATAAAGTAAGTTACGAATAAACTTCTTTCAATTCTTCTCACAAAATATAAATAAAAATATTCTCCCTCAACCTGAACCAAAAGAAAATTAAGGTTTGTTTATGAATATATACATGTACAATACAGGGGCGGATTTAGGCCGTCTTCTGGGTCTTCCGGAAGACGGTCAGACTTTCAAGTTTACATTGACGGGTATCTAATTTTTTCTGTTGGAAGACGGTCAAAATTGGAGGATGAATCAACAAAGATAATTTGGAAGACTGTCAGTAAATAGCTCTGGATCCGCCCCTGCAATAATACTGTGATAGGGAACTGATCTTATCTCAACATTGGCACGTTTTAATATATGAAAATAAAAACAAAACATATTAGATTACAGGATTGCTTCATGTACGTAAGGTCGAACCATCTTCTTGACCGGTTGATGAATCTAAAAAAAGCCACAAGCTTAGTGACGTCTACCATGACAATTATACGAAATTTGTTTAAGATTACCGGGCCTGTTATGATTTCCACCTAACGACTCACAAGTGTGTTAAGAAGAAGGTGGCTTCATTGACAGATAAAATCATCGACCGATCAATATGACATTAGCCATGTATAAGCATGTGACCTACTTTCTTTCTCTGAGGTTTTGCGCCAGGTCCGCCACCCATTCCGACTCCTCTCCGTTCCTGTTCTCTACGTCCACATTGGAGATGCCTCGGCTTAACAGAGGCAGACGCTGTCCTGGCGTGTGTGGGGAAAACTGGATCAAACGCGGCCCTGTTTTATAAAGTCTCTGATTGCCGACCCGACGTAATCCGTATCGAAGAATATGAGGAGCAGACGCTCGTATGCCCGTCGACATAACACTGATTTTGCTTCGTATTTTCTCTGGGTGTTTTCAATTTTTGACCACGTCTTATGTCCCAAGCACCTTATGTGTCTATTTGCGTAATGTGAACGCTATAACAGGGCGAGAAATGTGTTAAATGCAGCTTTGTTTGCCCGGTTAAATTATGTCCCAGCTCGATTGCCTCGAAAGAAATGACCTTGACCTTTTCCCGGAGGTGTGTCTCAGTGCAGCCTTTTGATTGGACAAGTGCGTCATAGCATGTAGGTTGCAATGTTTATGTAGCTGGTGGGTTTACGTAATAAGGGATAATGATTTCCTCCGAGCTATGCACACAAGCTTGGACGAATGAAGTATCTTATTCGTTCAAAATACAAGTAAAAATAGCATTTAAATAAAATGCATCGATATATAGAACGTGATTGAACATTGACAGCCGGTTCTATGCAGGGGCGGATCCAGGATTATTTGAAGTGTTAGAAGTGTGTGGGGGAAGGGGGGGGGAGGGAAAGGGTCCGTGGATGCGAAGCCAATCCCCCCCCCCCCCCCTTTTGCAAAGGGTGCGAGACCTTTGGCAAACTGAAATGGCGTAGGGTGCGGGACCCTGTAACGGGCCCCGAAATTTTTAGGTATTTAAGAGGG